GAGGGAGAGAGGAGGAGGGAGAGAGGGGGAGAGGGGAGGAGGGAGAGAGGGGGAGAGGGGAGGAGGGAGAGAGGGGTACTTTTACGGAGGCCTCCTTCCCTGGAGGAGCTTCAGGAAGGCTATTCTGTGCACTTGTCCCCGTCTCCCTGTGGCCAGCCTTTTCTCTTGCATGGTAAATGCAGCTCTCTACAAGGGTGCACCAGCCTTCATTAAGTCCAGAGTGCTATCTGGAAGACTTGATCTTCATCCCACCCCCGTACTGTGTGACCACGAGCACACTCATCTGCTAATGTGGCTCTTCCTCGGTTCTGGCTTTTACTGCATGTGTCCTGCCGACAGACACCACAGATGCCTTGTGAGCAGAAAGCATGGGCAGTAAGCTTCTGCCTGCTCTGGTCTCCTTGGGCCACGCTCTCGTCTTGCTACAGTCCTCAAAGCTTCTCCTCACCCAGCATTTACCTAGTGTAGGAAGACTGTCTTGTCCTGTGTGCATCCTCACCCCACTGTTTCATATGACCAGTTTTCCGGTTCCAAGCACACTGCAAGCTTACTGACTTGTGCACATGCACCTGTGGGAGACGAATGCTCTCAGCCTGTGTCAGGGTGTTTATTCTTCGTGTTCTCTCAGACCCAATGGAAGACTCAAGCTCCATACTTTCTTTTCCTGAAGGAACTGAGTTTGAACTTGGGGTGTCACACTTGCATGTTGACACTCTACCACTGAACTACAACCTTTCATATTTTCTTCTAACAGAAATCACAGTCCATGGCTGGCAGAGGTCCACTGCACATTCTCCACCTAGGGTCTCTCGTTGCACGAATTAACTATAATTGGTCCTCCTTTGTACTACCTATAAACCTAACATAGAATGGTCTCACACTTGTTAAATTGTAAAATTCAGTGTGGACAGACTTGGTCCTAGACATCATTGTATCCTTGTAGTCTCTCTGCCTAGGGTTCCATGTATGGTGTTTGGTAGACAGTTCATAAATTAAAGTACATTTTGTGAATAGCACCATCCAAATAATTTGTAATTAGCCGGGCGCCGGTGGCTCACGCCTGTCATCCTAGCTACTCAGGAGACTAAGATCTGAGGATCACGGTTCAAAGCCAGCCCAGGAAGGAAAGTCTGTAAGACTCTTAATCTCCAATAAACCACCAGAAAACCAGAAGTGGCGCTGTGGCTCAAGTGGTAGAGCGCTAGCCTTGAGCTGAAGAGCTGAGGGACAGCGCCCAGGCCCAGAGTAGAGGCCCCACAACCAACAAAAACAATTATAATAATTTACAATTAATTTTTAAATATGATTTTAGTACTGTTTTTAGTACTTTTATCTGTCACTTTTACCAATAGATCATTTTTATGTTATTTTATACTAAATAGGAAAACTTTGTATTACTACTAGCTTTTGCATATGTAATATTAGAATAAAGTATCACAAATATTATTGTGTCTATATAAATCAAGTATTTTTGAGGTGGTTATATGATGCAAATAGGCAAAGTAATTAACACATTTATTGATGCCAAAATTCAAAGTAGATTCCACAGACCAGTGTGTAGAGTACCCCACGATTTCAGTAAAAAATGGAGGGCAAAAAAGGTGCATTTCCTGTATATGCAGAGAGTCCCTGGAGACCCTCAGGAAGAAGTATAATGTGTCTGCCATAGAGGAGGACATTGTCAGGTGGGGTGGACGTGGAGTTTGGTGAAAAGGAGATTTTACTGTGCCCTTTTGAACATAAAGAGCATGTGCATCAGTTCATTCTTGAACATGGAGTCTTCACTATGTTGCTCAGGCTGGACTTGAACTCAGTGTCTCTCTCAGTCTCCTAAGTATCTAGGATTAAAGGCACTTGCTGCTACCTTTGTCTTGTAGTAACTATTAAAAATAAGGCTTGTGCCTATAAAATAGCAACGCCAGCCAGGAAGTTTGGAGACCCTCCCTGGGGTGGGGGAGAGGAATGACAAAATCCTAAAGTGCTAAGCCCCGATTTCAACTCCCAGTACCATGAAAAGAAAGAAAAAAGTAAATCAGGCAAAAATGAGTTTGAAATGTACTGAAATGTATGTTGATACATGAATGGACATGCAGAACATGGCACAGTCAGTGAAACACTTCTTACAAAGGAACTTCTATGGTACGAATGAATCCCAGGTATATTCTGCAAAAAGAAGAGCCCACAAATAGGACACAAAGCAGTGGGACTGTGGCCAGAGGCTGGGGGTGGGGGAGGGTTGGGGAAAGTGGAATGGAGTTACAACTGGAAGTGGCGCTGTGGCTCAAGCGGTAGAGCACTCGCCTTGAGCCGAAGAGTCTAGAGACAGCGCCCAGGCCCAGAGTTCAAGCTTCATGACCAACAACAAAATCTTATGGTTATTATGATGCTACCTGTAACCCTGGTGTGTTTCAGAGTTGATCTGTTTTCCCTGTTTATACAGGTGTCTTTAATACATCTGGAGGAAGTCACGTGGGCCAGAATTCCAGTACCTTAAATGGCGGAGACATCATCAATCTCAGACCTAACAAACAAAGGACCAAGAAAACCCGAAATCCCTTTAGCAGCTGTAGCATTCTCTAAGATGTTGTAGGAGGAGCCAGGATGAAGCACGTTGACACAGGCAACCACTGCCCTATTCCACAGGCATCTCAGCAGCCTCTGTGCCTAGTGGCTTCCTGAAGGCTAGAGATCCAAGCTCTGCTCTGCAGGGCTTCAGAATGTGCTGTGGGACCTGTGGGAAACTGCCCTGTGGGCTTATTTTCATATTTCCACGTTAGACAAAGTTTCTCCTGTTTATTTTTTTTTAATGCTATAAAATGTCAAACAGGTTGTGCTGAATTTTAAATGCTGGAAAACATGAATGCCTAATTATATTGGAACCGATTTTAAGGAAAAAGCATTCTTTTCCTGCAATTGGTCATCTTCCTTTTCTGAAAAGCAGTATTCATTGTGAATACTTGGAGAACATAGTACTGAAAGGCAACCCTGAGTCTAGCCAGATGGCATTGGTATGTTTTTGGCAATGTTTTCGTTAAATATTGGTAGAGGAAGGCATGCGCTAGTTGGTCCTGAGCAAACTGAGAACATGTACAGTATTTAAGGTAATTAGATTCTAACTCATTCATGAAATCATTTGTGTCTTGTTTTATTTTCGAATGAGAAATTCTAGACAGACATTTTGCAAAATGAGCTTGAACTTAAAAATGCTTTGTGCCAAAAAAATCACCTAATTCTTACAAGTGCTTTACTATCAGAATTCATATTGTTTATGATAACTCTTAAGAGCAGTTCTCTTCTCTGACAGGGTAGACAGATGCTGCAGCTTCTACGTGGGGTCCTCGCTGAAGAACCATGTGTGTATGTGTGTGTGTGTGCAAGGTGAGCATGAGCTTCCACACCTGTCAGCCAGCTGTGTGTGTGTGTGTGTCCCCACTGTGAGCAAGGTGAGCGTGAGCTTCCGTGTGTGTGTCCCCACTGTGAGCAAGGTGAGCGTGAGCTTCCGTGTGTCTGCACTTTGAGCAAGGTGAGCGTGAGCTTCCGTGTGTGTGTGTGTGTCCCCACTGTGAGCAAGGTGAGCGTGAGCTTCCGTGTGTGTGTGTGTGTGTGTCCCCAGTGAGCAAGGTGAGCGTGAGCTTCCGTGTGTGTGTGTCCCCACTGTGAGCAAGGTGAGCGTGAGCTTCCGTGTGTGTGTCCCCACTGTGAGCAAGGTGAGCGTGAGCTTCCGTGTGTGTGTGTGTGTGTCCCCAGTGAGCAAGGTGAGCGTGAGCTTCCGTGTGTGTGTCCCCACTGTGAGCAAGGTGAGCGTGAGCTTCCACACCGGTCAGCCAGCTGCCAGAGGTCGCCTAGCACAGGAAGCCTAGCAAAGTGCATTATGTGGCTGGCACTTTTTGCTGCTGACAGAATCCAATCTGGAGACTTTAAAATTATCACAGCCATTTTGAAAAGTGCACAAAAGATGAACTTTAGTCCTGATCCAAGTTGTGGATTTCATAATGCCTTGCAATGCTGAAATCCCCTTCAGTTTACACATTTTGATATAGTTTTTTTTCCACAAGACTTTCCACAGCCTTTGGTCTGCGTAGTGATCTCTCAGGAACTGCTGCCATCACATGATAGTCCAAGACCGTCTCTGTGGCCACGCTGCCACCGCAGTGACACCCTTGTCCTGCTGCTGGATGCTAGTCAAAGTGGAGGGACAGGAAGCAGTCTGACACACACCGATGTGACCTGGGACAGCAGCCTTCCAAAACTGACTCAAGTCTGGTACAGGTGGTTTTGTTTGTAGTGGATCTGCTTTTCAGATAGCATCTCATTTTTACAAGACTTCAAAATATGTCAAAAATATTTTTTTCTTGGAAAATGTCATGAGGTCATTTTACATTTTTGTACTAAAATATGAGTGTTTTTGTATTTTCCTGGTATGTTTCATCCTCTTACTATTCCTTGCCCAGAGTGAGGCTGAGGACAGAGCGGCCTTTCCTGTTGCCCTGGGTGTCCAGTGCACGTTTGCTTTGAGGGCACCCCGTTCCCGAACGCCACCTAGGTTTATTTTGCCACACGCTCCCATCCCCACTGCTGGCAAGGGGTGAGCATGAGGGCTGGGACTCACCTCCGGGGGGGCACTGCTTCCTCCTCCCTTGAAAAACAATCGCTTTAACGTCTGCACAAAGTGTATTTTGTGGGAAGTAATCTAACAGCCTTTGTTAGCAGGAAAGTCATTTGTTACATAATGTCCTATTTCATATTGATTAAATGTATGTGAGTAAAAGTATGTGCTACTTTTCTATAAAAATGTAATCCCTGATGATGATTGCAATTCCCTTAAAAATTGAAATATAATTTTATGTGACTGGTTTTTATCTTTTTCTTATTTAACAAAAACTAAAGAGATCTTTGCTACACATTTGGACTTTTACTGCGCTATATTTCACACCTACGCAGTCATTAAGTAGGTCTGAAAATCAGCCACAAATGATGTTAGTTTCTCAATTTAATAAATTCTAAAACCTTCAAAATTCAAATTATTTTTTCCTTTCTGACCCTTGAGCTATTAAAATAACCTTATAATTTCGAATAAAACTGGATGCTAAAGAAAAATGTCTTTTAAGAGCACAGGGTGTTGTGTATCTGTGTCTAGTCTTCTTGGTACTATCACTGCTTTTTTAGCAGAGAGATGCCTATGAAATAATTGCCACAGCTCAGAGTTCCCTAGGTTTCCTTTCTTTCTATGCTCACTGTCTGTGAATTAAATACTATATCAAAAAAGCCCATAATAAAGCAATACAGCCCAACAGAATCAGGTTTTTTAACACTGCCCAAAGTTGAGCAGACGTGTAGAACCTCAAAGTACAGTCAAAACTACCAAAAGAGGATACGTGACTGTCCACTGTGGGCCACAGGGAGGGGGGTCAGGGGTCAGGGAACTTGTGAAGCGAACCCATCTCTGCCTGAGGGGCTGAGGTCTCGTTTGAAGACCTCAGCCTGATGCCCAGCTGGAGCACCCAGCCTGGAACCCTGCTGGACTGCTGCCCTCACTGGACCACCGGCGTACTGGATCAGGGCAACAGCATCCATACTGCACCGTCATCAACCAGTAGGTCGGCTGTGTCTGCTTTAGCAAGCAGGAAGTATGCATATCAGACTACATAAGAGGTTTTCTCATAAAACTTGTAAATCTATTGTACATGTGAATATAGTGAAACAAGAGTGAACTAATACACTGGTCACAAGGCTCTAGTGACCAGATGATTTACCTGTTTACTAGCTCACATTCCTTTCTTCTCTCTTGAAGACCCCTGGGTCTATGGTAGGATATTGGTAAAAGGAATTTTAAAAGTGAAAATTTTGGATTAAATGAGAACCTGAGTCTTCTATATTTTTATTATTAATAATGCCTTTGTAAACCTAAGCCACTTGTATTCACTTGTAATTATGCCCTCAAGCTTAATTTAAAATACACTATTTGATTAAAATTTCAGTGAAGATGATTTCCAAATCAAAAAATAAATGCATTTTAAGGTAGGATTGTGTGTAATGTGTATCACCAATGTAGAACTAAAATTTGAAAAGTATAATAGGTTTTAAAAATAACTGCTGGGTTGGGGCTGGGAAGATAGCTCAGTGGTAGAGCGCTTGCCTTGCATGCATGAGGCCCTGGGTTTGATTCCTCAGTACCACATAAGCAAAAAGAAAAAAAGCAGGAAGTGGCACTGTGGCTCAAGTGGTAGAGCGCTAGCCTTGAGCTGAAGAGCTGAGGGACAGCGCCCAGGCCCAGAGTTCAGGCCCCACGACTGGACCCAACAGAAAAATTTAAAAAAATAAAAATTAACTGCTGGGTACCGGTGACTAATGCTTGTAATCCTAGCTACTCAAGAGTCTGAAATCTGAGGGTTGCGCAGTTCCAAGGCACCCAGGGTAGGAGAGTCTGTGAGATACTTACTTCCAATCAACTCGCAAAAAGCCAGGTGTGGAGGTGTGGCTCAAATGGAAGAGAACCAGTCAGCCATAAATGAAAAAGCTAAGGGAGAGCTTCTAGGCCCTGAGTTCAACCTGCAGTCCTGACGGTGGTGTGTGCACACATATACACACACACTAATCAAACTATTTGGTATTTGTATCTAGCATGCTAACATGCTAATTTTATTGATGCTGGTTATTTAGTGCACTTAACACTTAATAATATGCCCTAGAAATTCTTTCATAAACATGGATCAGTTTCCTAAACTGTTTGATGACGCTTGGGTCTTTGTGGCCGGCAGATACGTGTTCTTTTTGTCCTGTCTGGTTCTGCTGCATTTAGCAGGCGCCTCTGTGTCAGGCATCACACTCAGCACTCTGCACGTGCTACCTTCCATGCTTCCTCACAAGTACTGCTAAGGACTGCACAGTGTCTCTGCGGGTAAGGGTGGGGCTAGAATCCAGCCTATACTGCCACTTAACTCCAGTTTTTTGCTTTGTCCATTTTCATTTTGATGCCTGTGTAAGGAGACACAGAGAAAAATACATTTCCCCCCAACATTCTCAGCAATTTTGCCTATTTTGTGTATTTAGGTAGTATAACACTTAGCCTTCCAAAGGAATTATCACACTGTGTATCATGTATGTACCTCGTGTACCACAGCCATCTGAGAAGTACAATGTGTCTATTAGTTTAAACCAGGTCACAGTTTTCAGTTTGTTAAGATGCTCTGCTGTTTCCAGTAGAGCAGAAATCTCCAGCATGTGGCTGCCTCTTCAGGGTGAATTCTGAGCAGGTCCCACACCAAATGCCGTCAGCACAGGGCCGAGCCTGTGCTCCATGTTGTATCCCTGTGCACAGAATCACCTGGCTAGTGTTTATTTACAAAAGAAGGCTGTTCATGTGGGTGCACTGTCAGGAAGCCCTTGCCACAGCTGCTCATCTTCATCACGCCCATGTTTCCCTTTCTCACTCCTATGAGAACTTCAGTGTGTCAGGTCCATAAATTAAAATACCACTGGTTATTTATATATGTGTCACAGTTTAAATAGGACTTTCAATGTGGCCTCTGTTGGTGAATTTGGGTGAGATTTGCCAGATTCTCAGTGGGTCCTTCTTGCTGGCTATTGCTACAGAGAGCCTATCCCTGCAGATAAAGGAAGAAGAGCCTGCCTAGAAGTACAGTCCCGGGAAGTAAGTTACCAAGAGATGGCAGAAAGGCTGTGCTAAAGGTGCAGCTACCGTCCGGGAAGTGCACAGAAATTGGGATGGGTAAAACCTACACCTCAATGCTCTTATTATCAGTCATCAATAATGTGGCTCACCCTGGAAGATCAGAGGGCAAAGGCAGTGCAGACCAGAGACCTTGGAGATGGAGGATCACCACTCTTCAAGTCTGTGAAAAGAAATGAATGATTGCTAACCCAACTGCATTGTACAAGGCAGAGAAGACAAAGGTCAAGGAGATAGAGCCAGAATTGGTGGAAAGTGGCAGGTTGACTGGGTGAATGTGAACGGTGGCATTGCTCAGAGAACACCTGAGAACCTAGGAAATGGATTAATCACTCCTTAATTTTCACAATGAGGACATAAAAACATCTTCACTGGGTAGGGAGCCTTGTGGCAGCAAAGCTGGAGTCTGCAGACAAACCAGGAAACTGCCGCAGGGAGCATCAACTCCTGTGAGGTGCAGAGCTGTCATGAGTCACAGCAGTGTTTTCACTATGGTAAATCCAGCTCAGCAGCACTTGCCCTGCCCAGAGATGTACAAAACCAGGCTATTACCTCTCTCTCAATATGAATACAAGAAATGAGTGAGAGTGGGCGCCAGTGGCTCACGCCTGTCATCCTAGCTACTCAGGAGGCTGAGGATCACAGTTCAAAGCCAGCCCGGGCAGGAAAGACCATGAGACCCCTATTTCCAATAAACCACTAGAAAATTGGAAGTGGCACTGTAGCTCAAGTGGTAGAGTGCTCACCTTGAGCTGAAGAGCTGAGGGACAGCGCCCAAGCCCAGAGTTCAAGCCCCATGACCCCCCCCCCTCAAAAAAAATGAGTGAAGTAGAAACCATGTTGAAAATGAACTATACAACTTGTGGGGGTGGACAGGTGGAAAAAACTGGGAGAGAATAAGGGGTGACATTGTCCAAAAAAAGTGTCCCCATTGCCTGATTTATGAAATGGTAAACCCTCTATAGCAGCTTTATAGTAAGTTTTTAAGAAAGAAATACTCAAGAGCAGTTGTGGAGAAATGGTTTAAGTAGTTGTGTATCAACATCATTAGATGTCCTATAGTTGCTTCATTTATTACAGGTAAAAAGAGCAATGTGTGGGTCAACCTTGTTAGTAAAACAAGATGTCTGGGTTAGGAAAAAGTCAAATGTCCAATGCTTGAACAGTATCAGTGAAATGGATGTGTGTTAATTACTGAAGACATTGTAAGTTGATATACTTTTATACAAAATATTTAAAAATGTTAGATGAAAATATATATACTCTAATTAAAAAACCCATTAATGGGAATTTATATAAAGATCAAAAACAAAGAATAAAGCTCTATGGACAGAGCATGTTGTGGTAACAGCAACAGCTGGCAAACCAACAAATGTTCAGTGTGCGGGGAATGGGCAAATGAGCCAGGGAGAGACAAATGGAGATCCACACTCCAAATGTCCAGTGTGCGGGGAATGGGCAAATGAGCCAGGGAGAGGCAGAATGGAGATCCAGAAGCTAACAAGCAGGCTTTGTTTAAAGAGGGGAGGGTAAGAGGAGAAAGGCAAGGTACCACACTAAAATTTTTAGAAATGATACATTTGAGATTTAGTGTACATAATTGTTGATGATGGTGAAAGTGAAGGTAATTTTCTCATATTTGCTTCCATTTATATAAAAATACAATCACTAATTTTCCAATCTTTCATTTAAAATAGTACTTAACATAGGCACATAAAAGTTGAATGACAGCATGCATGAAAATGTTCTATGTGATTCCTCTGATCTTGCAAGCATGAGTTCTTTGCTATGTGTATGTTGCTCAAGACAAGGAGTTTCTAGTCAACTATATGCCACAGTCCAGAAAAGACAGTACAAGCACTATTTACAAGAGCAGTGTGCTCTTGCCCTGGCCAAGTACTACTTTGCCACATGCTATGTGAACAGTAAGACATGTGACATGTAATGCTAGATTCTGGTACATGGCAATTCCATCTAACAACTGCATAATTAAAATCCTTCTGGGTTTAATACTCACAAAATATTTGGTGTTAAAATATCTTCCTCATCTGAAACAACTATTGGCATCAAATAAGAGGTTGTGCCTAACATAAAGAACAAGTTGTCACCTGCAGTAGTACTTTAGTATTTTGACAATATCAAAATGCCTCTAAGTTCAAAGACTAATTGAATTTGTCTTCATTTGGCTGTAGCATTTTGGAGCCAGCTCCTTTAGAATGCTCTAATAGCTTGATGGACTTATCAGAATTTTCGATATTTCTAAGCAGAGTCTCTAATCTTCTCTTAATTTTCTTCTGATCTTCAAGAGCACAGCCAATTACTATGGACTGAAACTTCTGGTCCACAGGCCCAGGGGGTACCTCTGATGAACATGCGCTGTAGAGAGACACAAGATGACTCCTGGCGCTTCCCAAGTCATCCAGAAACTTACTGACCACCTCATCTATGATCCTCGTGGCATGCTTGAGGGACTCTTGCTGCTGTGGACTTCTAATTGTCTCCACTGAAACTTCAACAGTGAGGGTCCGTCCCATCAAACGGTTTGCTGTCAGATTTAATTCTTCTCTTTCCCCTAAATGTATCAAGGTTTAAAAGAACCATCAGTAGAAGACATGGACTTAACATGAGAAGAACACCATGGTGTTCATTAACGACAAAACTTGTCGTCTATAAGCACTTCTCAGAATTGTTTAAAGCGAACACAGCCTACAGGAAGAGCAAGGTTATAGGCCACCTTTCCTGGATAATCTTTACATGTGGACACCAAGCAGGTGTCCACACAGGTCTGTGTGTCTGCACGCAGTGGCAGCTCTGCACTAGTGACATGATGGAGGTGGGCTCAGCTCGGGGCTGGCGCAGGGAGCCGCAGCAGGGCTTGTGCTGGGAAAGGTGGTGATCACAAGTCCCACACAAGGACATGAGAGCTCACCGCAGCACACTGCCCAGAGTCTGGCTGCCCAGTAGCAGTGGCAGGCACTGACTCCATCCGCCCAGAGGGGTGGAGTAGGCCAGAGGTCCAGAGATCATGGCCAGCAGAAGGAAGCAAGGCTGCACAATGGAGCTCTACCAACATTTCTCAACCTACAAGAAGTCAGCAGTCCCCTTCTTGTCCTGTCCCACAGCTTCCAAATCCCCAGCTTTTAGCCAAGACGGTGAAGAGACAGACTGACCCCTTTGGATGAGCAGCAGTTGTGGTCTGGAGTCAGACTGATCATTCACGCCACCCACTCCCATCCTGGGGAGGGCAGCGGGAGCCCAGGAACCCCAGCGCCAAGAGAGCAAAGCCTGTGTGTGGCCCCTTCCCCCAGCAGGCGACCAGGAAGTCCAGCGCCAAGGAGAGCAATGCCAGTGACCCCTTCGCCCTGGCAGCCATGCTCTAAGGAACATGACTACAATGCAGCCCTATAGCCCCGATGGGTCCCCTGGTTCAAAAATGGTGCTCTTGAGGCTGGGAAGGTGGCTCAGTGGTAGAGCGCTTGCTTTGCATGAACGAGGCCCTGGGTTTGATTCCTCAGCTCCACATAAGCAGAAAAAGCCAGAAGTGGTTCTGTGGCTCAAGTGGTAGAGCACTAGCCTTGAGCTGAAGAGCTGAGGGACAGCACCCAGGCCCAGAGTTCAAGCCTCATTACTGACAAAAAAAATAAATAAATAAAATAAAAATGGTACTCTTCTTTTCCTCCAAGTCAGGTGGAAACTCATCTCCTTTTGTCTTTCTTTCTCTGCCTCAACTCTCACCTTTTGCCTTCACTCTTAAATGTCGGGCAGTCCTTTTTTTTTTTTTTTGGTCAGTTGTGGGGCTTGAACTCTGGGCCTGGGTGGTGTCCATCCCTCAGCTTTTCAGTTCAAGGCAAGGGCTCTACCACTTGAACCACAGCACCACTTCCGGTTTTCTGGTGGTTAATTGGAGATAAGAGTCTGATGGACTTTCTTGCCTGGGCTGGCTGTGAACTGTGATCCTCAGATCTCAGCCTCCTGAGTGGCTAGGATTACAGGCGTGAGCCACTGATGCCTGTCCTGTCCTGCAATCCTATAGCTTATAAAGACACTAAAATGAACGCGGGAGTAAACCAGATGGCCTTGGTAGGTGCTGTCCTGGTCATGACCTGGGGGTGGGGCCCAGGCTGGACCAGTGGCCGGGGCAAGTGACTGCGGTATTCAACAGCTGCACCTGTTCTGCTCTCTTTCCCTCTCCACAAACACGACAGCACGCTGGGGGCTGGCTCTCACCGTCGCTGATCTGCCTCATGTCCTGGCTGTTCTGGATGCTGTGAATCATCTCCAGAAGCACTTCCTTCTCCTGCTCCACTGCAGTTGCTGCTTCCCTCAAAGCCTCGACCCTGTGCAAATGAGGAAAAGCAGACGGTCAGCGTGTGAGCCATCTTCCTCAACCTTCATCTCTGCATCTACAAGTTCAAAGATCATTAGGAACTTCAAGTTTATTAAACTTTGTTTAGACACTTATTTGATTTGTAATTAATTGTTCATTCCATTGACTCTATTAGTTTTTCTAGGCTGACAATCAGAAATAATTGTCAGAAGACAATTGTTGTTTCTTCCCAATAAAATAATTTTTCCTTTATAGTACTGACTAAAGGTACTCCAGCACTACATTCAACAGTGCTGATATCTTTCCCCAAATCTAGAGGGAAAGTTCCCATAGGTTTGTGGCATAAATCTTACCTATATAATAAAAGCCTAACTATAAAGCCAAATTTTAAGTACTTCCCTACCATCCTTCAATCATACACACACACACACACACGCACACACACACACACACACACGCACACGCACACACAAACTATACATACAGATACCCACACCCAGGCACTTAAAACTAGGCTTTAGAATCACAAATGCAAGAAAAGTTCTCTATAGGGCAGTTTCTCATGTTATAAAACTTAAGTTGTCAGCTTTTATAAAACAAGATAGTAACAGAACTATCCTCCATATTTGCACGATCCCAGAAATACATAGGATCCAATCCAGACTGCTGCCTTAAATGGGCACAGAAGGAACAACTTCACCCATGTTTTAGTGTGTGCCAGTTCCATAAAAGGGCCCTTCCTTCTCAGCCTGGCCAAACACGTGCTCTCCCCTCTAACTGTCACCCACCTGTTATACCCCAAAATAGCATCAACAGGCCGGGAAGGTTACAGCAAGGCTTTCTTCTTCAGGATAGAAAGTATATGTGGAACGTCATGTTTATAAGAGCCAGTAAGCAAAAAGAATTGCTAAGAGTCTTACTTGACAAATTTGACTGGAAACAAACATAACACTCTGTAAAGTAATAGCAATGTGGAGCCAGTCCCTCTCCTAACACGGCTCCTTACCCACTCTGGTGTCTCTCATCAGCAAGCCGGGTAGTGGGACAGGAGCCCAGTGCGTGTGAGAGAGACAGGTGTCACTAGTATGAAAGGATCGCAGTAAGAACACAACCTATGACTCTACAGATAACTGACAAAACATCCATGTGACTGATAAGCCTTGCTCAAAGAAGTCATTAATATCTGGACAAATATGAGATGATCAAGAACTGCATAATGTTCTAAAATAAGGTTTCATGCAGCATAAGCTGTCATAGTGAATTTTTGGGATTGTTAAAGAAATAGAGACATTAGGAGACAGTCTAAAAAAATAAAACTCACATATAACAAAGCTATTTGGGGCTGGAGACACAACTCAGTGGTAGCTGATACCAGGCACAAACACACGCGCGCTCACGCGCGCGCGCACACACACACACACACACACACTTTGTTATTAAAGGTAATGAGAACGTTTATGTTTTGTGGTGATTTCCTTGGATGTTTTTTTCACAACTCTTTTTTCCCTTGGTACCAGAATTTGAGCTCAGGGCCTCATGTTTGCTTCGCTGGCAAAGTACCATTGAGCCATATGTGGAGCTGTGAATTTTGTTGTTTAGAGATAAAGTCTCTAAATCCTGGCTCCAAATCACATTCCTCCAAATCTCAGCCTCCTGAGTAGCTGGAATTACAGATGTGAGCCAACACTTCTTTACATATAACAAAAATTACCAGGTGTTTACAAGAGAACTTTAAAAAACACATATGTACACCTTTTCCATTTGACAGTAAAGGCGGAATGTCACTCTTTGGGATGCACACATTATGTATACCTTCCCCGTGTGACAGCAAAGGTAGGCTGTAAAGATTCCAGGGTGCTCTTCACCCCGGGTGGCTTCCCCTTAGCACTTCTCCGCTAGCTTCTCTGATACTAGCTTTCAAAAACCTCCTACTCCTGCTCCACGAGGCTCGATTTCCCTTGAGGAGACCTGTGCCTCCTTTGGTGCTGCTCTCTCTATTTAGTGTAGGTACCACATCCCCTGTTCAACTTTTTCTTTTAAAAGCTGATTCTACAGTGCTGCTTTAAATAAGTGCCTGTTTAAACAATACGTGTACTATTTAATAGCATTTCTTCCCCTAAATTCAACTCATACAGATTTTGTTGTTCATGGCTTCTCCACTGGTTTGAGATCAAGCACCAGACTGTGTGTCAGTGTGAGAAACCTGACATCCACACAAATGTCCCTTGATGGCAAGGGGCAGCCAGTACGTACTAACAGATCTTGGAGTAGTCACATGTCCATATTGGGAAAGAACTAATCCTCACATGCAGACTGCCTGGCCTGTGCTCCTGAAAAACTGCATCAAATCATCAAGAAGGCTAGGACAAAAACACCTTAGAAAATTCACAAGAAAAAACCGGAGATGCCTCCTTGTGTGTCCCAGGTCTGGACACCTTACAAATCTCTGCAGCTGGGGTGCCGGAGGTGCAGAGGTATTAAGGATTCAGCTCATAGGCTGTGCAGTGTTGGCAGCTGCCACTCTCAGCTGTGTGACTTTGAGTAGTTAAGCACTGAGCTGCAACTCCTCAGCTATGAAATAAGGGTGATAAGGATCAGGGGCTGCACTTCAGAAAAGCAGGCAGAGGCAGAGTAACTCAGGACTGACTGGCATGGAAAATGGGTTAAGATGTATGATGTGCTGGCATACACTAGCTTCATGACAGTTACTCCACACTTGCCATTATGAACACAAACTCACCCTGTAACAAGAGGAAGTTGAAATGGAGGGAAAATGGCAAATGTTTATAATATGGACTTTTTTGAAAAAGAATTTCCTTAACAGATTTTTAAACTTATGGCGCTTTTATTAGATAGTCCTGTATCCAAAGATCTCTACCATGTTCACTTACTGTTTCTGGCAAAGTAGAACTTTTGGAAGGTTTTCTAATCACCACGTGTTAACACTCCCCCTCAGGTCAGTGGCGTAAAAGGGGATGTTGTGTGTCCAGAGCTACTCATTAGTAGTCAGCCCGAGGGGAGCCCTGCGGGCCTGCGGGCTCAGGGCCCTCACTTCTAAGAGGTAATAATAGGTGTGCCCCTCCTGCCTCCGCTGACAGCATGTTGGATAAGCACTCTTGTAAACTGTAAACTGCAAGCTGTTCTACAATGTCAGCGCTGAGTCCTGGAGCACAGACACACCCTACCAAGGAACACAAAGGACAAACGAGAACTCTCGGCCTCGCCTGCCACCCAACTATTCATGTCCTGGCTGAGCAAATGGCTGACCAGAGGAGGAATGGTGCAGGGAAACTGGGAAATGTTCAAACAGCCAAAATCCCCATCCTCAGGCGCCAGCAAGTTCCTTTTCAGTCTCCAAACCATCCCCAAGTCACCCGAGCCATCCAGAAGCTTCCCCACGGTCCTGGGTGGTGCTCTGGCCACCGAGTTAAGCCTAGCTTCACGGGCAGCCGTGTGCGTGCTCCTGGCTCCGGAGGTGACTGGCTGCTGAGGCTCGCCCTGCGATGAGGGCTCTCTCGGGACGCCCAGCAGGAGCCGGCTCGGCAGGCCAGCCCGAGGCAGGCAGAGGCCGGCGGGCGCTGCGGG